TGGGCGGCATAAAAAGAGTTCTGCGATAAATCGTTACCCTTTCTTTCCTTCCGCCGCCCGCTTCCTCTTAGCGTCCCTGACCTCAGTAGATCGTTGAGTGTAGTTAAGTCCCAAGGTGATAGCTGGTGGTGGCGATCGGACGGAATTGACGAAAGTTTGAGATGGGTCTCTCGCAGTCGTTGCTGTAGAACTTTGTCGTAATCTTCAAGATAATGTGCTAGGAATTAGTGGTGTTGATCTACTGAAATGACTATATGAATGAACACAAAAAGTGTATTGGATTGAATTGGCAGAAAATGGTCATAATCAGACCCATCAAATTAAAGGATTTCAGATCCCTAAAGTTGAAGTCCCAGAAATGCAACAGTTCACTGAAATGGCAGTGTGAATGAACACGTACAGTGTAAATTGGATTGAATTGGTAACTACTGGTCATAATCAGACCATCAAACCAAAAGATTTCAGATCTCAATAGTGGAAGACCCAGAAAATGCAAAAGTTCAAGTGCTGCAATGGCTATGTGAATGAACACGAAAACTGTATTGTATTGAAATAACAGCTACTGGTCCAAAATCCGGTGTCAAAGTATTTCAGATCCCCAAAAGCATAAGACCCAGAAATGTGGGCGGCTTTAAAAGAGTTCTGCGATGAATCGTTAACCTTTCCTTCCGCCGCCCGCTTCCTCTGAGCGTCCCTGACCTGAGCAGATCGATGAGTGTGGTTGTGTCCCATGGTGAGAGATGGGGGTGGCGATCGGACGGAATTGAGGAAAGTTTGAGATGGGACTCTCGCAGTTGTTGTTGTGGAACTTTGTCGTAATCTTCAAGATAATGTGCTAGGAGTGAGTGGTGTTGATCTACTGAAATGACTATATGAATGAACACAAAAAGTGTATTGGATTGAATTGGCAGCAAATGGTCATAATCAGACCCATCGAATTAAAGGATTTCAGATCCCTAAAGTGAAAGTCCCAGAAATGCAACAGTTCACTTAAATGGCAGTGTGAATGAACACGTACAGTGTAAATTGGATTGAATTGGTAACTACTGGTCATAATCAGACCATTAAACCAAAAGATTTCAGAAAATGCAAAAGTTCATGTGCTGCAATAGCTATGTGAAAGAACACGAAAAGTGTATTGTATTGAAATAGCACCTACTGGTCCAAAATCAAGTGTCAAAGTATTTCAAATTCCCAAAAGCATAAGACCCATAAATGTGGGCGGCATTAAAAGAGTTCTGCGATAAATCGTTACCCTTTCTTTCCTTCCACCGCCCGCTTCCTCTGAGCGTCCCTGACCTCACAGATTGATGAGTCTGGCTGTGTCCAATGGTGAGAGCTGTGTGGCGATCGGCCGGAATTGAGGAAAGTTTGAGATGAGTCTCTCGCAGTCGCTGCTGTAGAACTTTGTCGTAATCTTCAAGATAATGTGCTAGGAGTGAGTGGTGTTGATCTACTGAAATGACTATATGAATGAACACAAAAAGTGAATTGGATTGAATTGGCAGCAAATGGTCATAATCAGACCCATCGAATTAAAGGATTTCAGATCCCTAAAGTGGAAGTCCCAGAAATGCAACAATTCACTGAAATGGCAGTGTGAATGAACACGTACAGTGTAAATTGGATTGAATTGGTAACTACTAGTCATAATCAGACCATCAAACCAAAAGATTTCAGATCTCAAAAGTGGAAGTCCCAGAAAATGCAAAAGTTCAAGTGCTGCAATGGCTATGTGAATGAACACGAAAAGTGTAATGTATTGAAATAACAGCTACTGGTCCAAAATCAGGTGTCAAAGTATTTCAAATCCCCAAAAGCATAAGACCCAGAAATGTGGGCGGCATAAAAAAAGTTCTGCGATGAATCGTTACCCTTTCCTTCCGCCGCCCGCTTCCTCTGAGCGTCCCTGACCTCAGCAGATCGATGAGTGTGGTTGTGTCCCATGGGGAGAGCAGGTGGTGGCGATCAGATGGAATTGAGGAAAGTTTGAGATGGGTCTCTCGCAGTCGTTGCTGTAGAACTTTGTCGTAATCTTCAAGATAATGTGCTAGGAGTGAGTGGTGTTGATCTACTGAAATGACTATATGAATGAACACAAAAAGTGTATTGGATTGAATTGGCAGCAAATGGTCATAATCAGACCCATCGAATTAAAGGATTTCAGATCCCTAAAGTGAAAGTCCCAGAAATGCAACAGTTCACTGAAATGGCAGTGTGAATGATCACGTACAATGTAAATTAGATTGAATTGGTAACTACTGGTCATAATCAGACCATCAAACCAAAAGATTTCAGATCTCAAAAGTGGAAGACCCAGAAAATGAAAAAGTTCAAGTGCTGCAATGGCTATGTGAATGAACACGAAAAGTGTATTGTATTGAAATAGCAGCTACTGGTCCAAAATCAGGTGTCAAAGTATTTCAGATCCCCAAAAGCATAAGACCCAGAAAAGTGGGCGGCATTAAAATAGTTCTGCGATGAATCATTACCCTTTCTTTCCTTCCGCTGCCCGCTTCCTCTGAGCGTCCCTGACCTCAGCAGATCGATGAGTGTGGTTGTGTCCCATGGTGAGAGCTGGTGGTGGTGATCGGACGGAATTGAGGAAAGTTTGAGATGGGTCTCTCGCAGTCGTTGCTGTAGAACTTTGTCGTAATCTTCAAGATAATGTGCTAGGAGTGAGTGGTGTTGATCTAATGAAATGACTATATGAATGAACACAAAAAGTGTATTGGATTGAATTGGCAGCAAATGGTCATAATCAGACCCATCGAATTAAAGGATTTCAGATCCCTAAAGTGGAAGTCCCAGAAATGCAACAGTTCACTGAAATGGCAGTGTGAATGAACCTGTATAGTGTAAATTGGATTGAATTGGTAACTACTGGTCATAATCAGACCATCAAACCAAAAGATTTCAGATCTCAAAAGTGGAAGACCCAGAAAATGCAAAAGTTCAAGTGCTGTTGGTTAAAAGTTTTATATTATCTTATTTTGTCTTCCCTTTTGGGTGGGAAGGCGACCGCTAAGTTTTATTTATTTATATATTTATTTATCATGAAATAAATGATTAAGTAGAACAATATTGTAAACCGTATTTGGAGGTTGTATTAGAAAAGTCAGTGGTATGGTGTTTGTACTGAAATAGTTGTTTAATTGTGGTTCAACTGTTTTAAATCGTTAAATACATCCTACCGGTCTAGTCTATGATAAAAGGTTTTTCTGGTTTAAGTGCCGAGGTACGGTATGATCTCTTAATTCTTGATTTATTATAGTAATCATGTTTTAAAATTAGTGGTATGTATGTAGTGGTACATTTGGATCTAATTGGCATCGAACATCAAATCCTCACTATATGAAGTGACATTCACAATTATTAAAAATGGTCAATGTCGGTTAAAATCAAGAAAATGTCGACCATAATGACCAATTTCACCTCCTAAATAAATAGATACCAATCAACAAAAATGTTTGGATGTTAACGTTTGTTGTTATAATTAAATGTAGTGGTTGTTATTTTACTTATTGATGCATTTTATTTAAGTATGGATATCAATTGTAAGCAAATAGTGATGAGCTATAAATATATGCGTAGTTCATTGATGTTGTTGATATCTCACTTTTCTTACATATTCAATTTTGTTAGAATCCGTATAAATTGACATAAATTGATTGTACCCTGAATAGAGCATACCACTTGTTAAACCTTTTGACAATTTTGATGTACCAAATCTTACTAGAACACAATTTAATTGAGGTTTCTACTCTCGTAAGATTGTTTAATTAATATGCGGATGGCAATATTGTGCTGAAGTGTTATTAAACATCTTAACACCTTATGTGTATGATAACCTATGAATTTATATATCAATTTCGATCTGACTTGTTTTATCAGACATATTGATTCAAAACCCCATATATACAGAAGTTGCCACTCTATTGAAAAGCATGAAAGGAATAATCAAATGTTCAACAACAAGAAGGCGAAGGAATGAGAAATTATGACGAAAGCGATTAATTTTTGGGAACAGTTCACCCAACAACACCGCAAGGCTACCAGAAGAGAGATCAGAAGAACCATGTACCTGGAAAAGGCCACCAAAGGGCTGGGTAAAGGCCAATGTTGACGCGGAGGTGCTGAAAGAAGGAGGGACAGGATTAGGGGTGGTTGCTCGAGACTCGAATGGACACTTTGTTATGGCAACAGTCCGCAGAGAACGCAACCCCTGGTCGCCAGAATTGGCAGAGCTTAGGACAATTGAATTTGATATGGAAATGGTGAGAGAAAAAGGGTTGGGTTCGGTAATTGTGGAATCTAATTGCCAAAATGCAATACTCAAATTTCAAAAAATAGAGGTTTCAAGACTGGAGATAGTTGTTCGAGTTCGGGAGATTCAAGAGCTGGCAGACCTAACCGGGTCGATTGAATGGAATTTTGGGCTACGGGAAGGGAACCAGGCTACACATGTTGTGACCCCCATATCATGTGTAATTGGGAGGCCCACAAAAGATAGGTTGGTAGACCACCCATATTTATGTTAGATTTTGTTAGCCCATTAATAAAATTTATGAAGTTTCTATAAAAAAAAGCATGGAGGTATTTACCGCTAAATTGCAAGTTTGGTCACTAGAATTAAATAAAAATTTAATGTTTGTCACTAAAATTAATTTATTCAATCCGTAGTCACTTAAATTAGTTTAACCGTATAAGTTTAGTCACTGGCTGTTAGTCTCCGTTAACTTTTGCTGATGTGGTGGTCAACTCTTATAGTTGACCGTTATATAAGTGATGTGACAATTAAAAAAATAAAAAATAATTATTTTTTATTTTCCACCTAATTATTATAAAAATTAAAAAAACCATTGAAATTGCCGACTTTGGTCGATTTTCCACAATGAAGAACAGAACAAAACCACCATGAACGAAACTAAAATTAGAATGTAAGAAGACTGATGAACAGGGGAAACTTAGAAACCCATCAGTAGAGGTAGAGCCCAATTTCAATCATCTCCAGTAGGAAACGGAGCCAGAACTTTCCTTCCACCATTTCCATTTGCCGATTCCAAATCCTCCACATACCCTGGAACCGCTGCATTGTGCACCGGCGGTCCCATTCTAAGCACAGCTTGCTGCTGCGCCGCCGGCCTAGCAAGTAAGGGATGATCGAATTGCCCATTGGGTGGGGACCCGAAATGCGCCATCTGCCTATGGTGACCCTGCAGCTGCGGATGAGTTGCGGCAGCCACCGCCATCTGCTGCTGGTGATGGTGATGCTGAAGGGCGCTGACGGGAACAAACGGCATGAAATGGTCGTAATTAGGCGGCCTCCCCGGATGCAAGAAATGCGTCGGTAGCGGCATCGACACCAACGGTAGATGAACCACCACTCAATCCCCCGCAGCTGCCGGAGGACAACCCCTGCATCCGCTTGAGGTAGAGCCGGTACTTCTGCAAATGACTGGCGACATTCTCCCTAGTCAACCCGTCCACACTCATGAGCTGCATTATCGTCTTGGACACCGCGTTCTTGATCCACACTAGCCTCGGCCGCTTCAGCGTCCGCGCCGGCTCGTCGCCTCCGGTGCCGGACCCCAGCTCCGCCGATGAGTCGGCGGCAAATTCAGACGAGTTGTGCTGTGAAGTCGCCAGAGAAGGATTCCCGTTGTTACCGTTGTTGTGGTTGGGAGAAGGCACGCCGCTGGGATGTCGGTAAAGGAGGCGGCGGCGTCGGGACCTGCTAATTCTGATGGAGAGAATTGCTGGCCACTGCCATTTCAATGGTTTTTTTTTATCTTTATAATAATTAGGTGGAAATAAAAATAATTTTTTTTTCTTTTTAATTGTGACGTTATTCATTTAATGCTCAACTATAAGAGTTGACCGCCAAATCAGTAAAAATTAACGGAGACTAATGGTCAGTGATCAAACTAAGACTGTTAACCTAATTTAAGTGACTACGGATGAAATAAATTAATTTTAGTGGCATATGTGAACTTTTGATTTAATTTTAACGATCAAACTTGCAATTTAGCCAAGTATTTACGGAAGGCATTTTTGGCAGATTGGAATATAGCCGTTTCAAAGCCCGAAGAAATTAAAATGGGCCACTAAATTGATAAAATAAACATGCCATGGAATATATCAGCATCAAAGATAGAAGAAATTCGAATGGCCACTAAATTGGGCTTGGCTTTTTCCGCCACTTGCATTGCTTATGGTTAATTGATCAGAAAAAAAAAACAAACATGACATACTAATTGCAAAATAATGAAATATATATCACGTTTTGAATTTTGCTAACAGTTACATGATGATTAAGTGTAAAGATAAAATTAGAATGAGGGGGACTAGATACCGTGACAACCTTCTTGGGGGTTGTCAATTTCGCTTCTTCTTTAGTAGCCGTCCATCCCTCTTCCTCACCATCTGACGGTTGATGATGGCCAAGGGAAAAAAAGATAGTGCCCACACTGGATTCGTCTGCCCACTAATTGCTGACGTCTGCCCACTAATTTGACGGTTGATTATGTACGTTTTGGAGTATGAACAAAGCTTGAGGCGTATGATAATTGTCTATTGCTTTTTTAATGTAAACCAATTATATTGGACAAAGTAATGGCAGTTTGCAGTAGTACATTTGGTTTTGTGTTCCATTGGCATTTTCTCATTACATCCAACACTAGTTTTCCCCATAAGTATTATGTGACTAGCAGTCGTGCTTGTACAACTACTAGTACTGGTATATGTAGCCGTAATTATTAGTGGTACATATACAAGTAACTAATGATGGTGGCACATGTGCAAGAAACTAGTAGTGGTACATGGACAAGTAACTAGTAGCGGTACTTATACCAGTAACTAGGAGCGGTCCTTGTATCTTTACTAGTTACTAGTATATAGTGGTACTTGTACCAATAACTAGTAGTGGTACTTGTACCATTATTAGTTACTGGTACATGTACCAGTCACTAGCAGTGGCACATGAACCAGTAGGCAGTAATTACTAGTAATGGTACTCGTACGAGTAAGTTTGTTTGCTAAAGCTACTGATATGCACGAGGCACTCACCGTGGATATACACAGGTGTTACAGCAGTAGTAGAATCATTGCTTCGTGTAGGTTTCCAAGTATGAACAATTTTTTTTGGTATCTGTTGTCTTTAATTTTATCTAAGACAAAATATTGTTGCCTACATTGGCACAATTGGGTTGGTGTTTGAGTGTGAAAATTTAGCACCTTCCCCCTAGTTATTTTAACTACATAACCCTTTATTGGTACCATTTTAGTTGTACTGGTACGAAATTAATGTTATTGGTACCAAGACAATGGTATCGATATCAAAATCATGTTGTTAGTAATCATTGCTCCTTCTGGTACGAATTCCGTTGCATTTGCACCATTTTACTAGTGGTATAAATATTGTTTTGGAAAAAATGTACCAGTAGTTATGGTTCAAGTAGCTAGTAGTATTATTGTAGTGGTAGGCTCCTAGTGGTATTCACCTAGTGGTACTCACTTAGTGGTAGACACGTGGGCATCTAGTGGTACTCCCTTAGTGGTAGTCATTTAGTCGTAGTTAGTGGTACTTCCCTAGTGGTATCGGGATACCGGTATAATGTTAAATAGTTCGTTTTGCTAATGCATTTGTTCTTTAAATACAGGTTTGGTATCAGCCATCATTCCATGAGACAGTTGAACGGGAATCACTTGTGTTTCCAGAACCAGGATGAATTTACACGTTTCTACAAGAGTTTTGGTCATGGAAGAGGTTTCTCGTCTAGAGTCGTTGGAGGAAGTAAAGAAGAAAAGGTCATACTTCCCCGAACCATTCGTTTTCTAGTTTGGAGGTTCGTGCACCAAACAAGGGTACAAAAAGCAACAGGCTTGACCCGAAAAATGCAGAAGAGGTCGTGGATTCAGAGTCTCCAAAGGTCATGAACAAACAAGGGTACATAAAAGGCAGCAGGCTTGACCCAAAAAATGTAGAAGAGGTCGTGGACTCAGAGTCTCCAAAGGTCATGAACAAACAAGGGTACATAAAAAGCAAAACCTAAACATTGTTTTTCAATATCTCTTTAGATGTTTCAATTCAAATTTGGTTCATGATACAATCAAACATGTCCCTTGTGGAAGATATTACGTTATTCGGATGAGATTTTGTTGTCTAACATTAGATAACCATTTTAAAGGGTTCTCTTGTGAAGGTACATGTACCAGTAACTATTAATGATATAAGTACAACCACTAGTTACTGGTACAGATACCACTAGTAATTACTGGTAATGGAAATATTAAGTCTGGTACTGGTACTACTAGTTTCTGGTGCTGATACCACTAGTCATTTCTGGTACTTACCAATACTAGTTACTGTTACACGCACTAGTGGTACTTAGCAGTACTAGTTACTCGTACATGTACCACTATTAGTCCATGTGTAATTAGAAAAGCAAGAAAAGTACTATTGTAACAAAAATACAAAACCATATTAAGTGATTCACCAACATTAGGGGTTTTCTTCAACAAAATTGGTTCACATTAAAAAATGCTCAACAAATGCTTCACAAGAGAGTTAAAAACCAACAAATGCTCAAACTTTGTTCATACTCCAAAACGTATATAAACCAATAGCATACTCCACGCACTCTGAAAAAGAACTACTGCTTCCCGAACTGCTTGCGCTTGTTCCTACTTTCGGTTTCTTCTTCTTCTAGCAGGGACACTTCATTAACTCATCTCGTGGCCGTTTCTTACTAGGACCTGAATTAGAGTCAGATGAATCCCTTTCATGGATGACTACTTGCCGAGATTCATAGGTTGCAGGATGTTTTACAGCAGGTTCTTTTTTTTCCAGTTGCTCTTTTGTCGTCGACACATAGCATGGAGTCTTTGTTCTCGCCATTCCTGGTACACAGATAACAAAACTACATTGTTAGACATATTTATTAAAACTTACAATACCAACACTATGAAACATTCAAAAAAGATAGTATCAGGAATTCCTATGATACGTGTACAACTAGTGTTAGTGGTACAAGTATCACTAGTGGTACATGTATCACTAGTTGTACTTGTACATTTATCATTAGTGTTACCGGTACACTAATCCCTAGTGGTCCTGGTACAAGTACTACTAGTGTTACTGATACACGTATCACTAGTAGTACATGTATCACTACAAAAACATTCTACCACTACTACTAGAACTGGTACCAATACCACTACCACACCAATTCAAAGTACCACTGCATTATTCAAACAACACACAAGCTACTAAAGAAAGGAATGGCTGGTATAAAGAAACCTCACCTGGTATGTTTTCAACCGCCGTATAAAGTGTCGACGGATGAAGGATGTCCGGCGATGCAATGAAAGAACGAAAAAAATGAATTGTTATGATTTGGATTAAATCACGGTTGGCCGCTGGGAAAGGACGATCGAAGAGGAGGGAAGGCCGCTGGGAAACGACCAGTTCAAGCCAGTCAATAGAACTTCAATTGAGCAAAATTTTAAACGACCAGAATCAAGAAGAAAGGAATGGAGGAAATAGACCCGAATTACCTTTACTCTCAACGACCAAGTCTTCGAACCCAGTGGGGAAATGAGCGAGATGATGCAGGGGAAAGGAAACTAACGACAATGTTTATCGGCGACGATGCATGGGTTTTCTTTTTGGGTTATGGGAGCTTATGGAGGCTGGCCAGGCGAACGGTTTTTTTTGCGAGGAAGGTGGCGCATTAGCCTCCGAAAATCTTTCCCCTTTCAAAACTGAATTTCGCGTGACACCATAGGAGGAGTGGAGGAACGGATCCAGTGGAGCACCTATCCATTTTGCCCTTGATGATTATCGACCGCCAGATCGTGAGGAAGGGAGATGGGCGGCTGGGAAGGGGGAAGCGAGATTGACAACCCCTTTAGGGGGTTGTCACGCTATCCAATCCCAAAATGAGGTTATAATCCAACCCCGAAATTACTGAATCGCTATTTATTGCTCTAAAATTAAAAAACGTGTGAGGAGCAGGTGAAAGGGATAGTGAGGGATGCGGTTGCTATCGAGAGGGAGTTCGTCTGCGACGCGCTGCCGTGCGCGCTGGTATAGGAATGAATGGGGTTTTGATGAGCCACAACATTGAGATCGTTGCTGATAGATTGCTGGATGCGCTTGGCTGTGGAAAGATATATAATGTGCCGAATCCTTTTGATTGGATGGAGCTGATTTCGTTGCAGGGGAAGACGAATTTCTTTGAGAAGAGGG